TTCTGGACACTGCACTTAAATAGGTAATAGGGACTCCCCTCCACCAGCACCAATGTGCAGCCCCACCTGGATGATGTGACAGCAGTCATAGAGTGATGAAGCCAGTTCAGAGATGGGGATTATGAGGAGGCCATGATTGGTAAAGGCCAGGGGAAATTTGGCTGGGACACTTGGCTAACACCCCTACTCTTTTCGTGAAACACCCTTGGTAATTTTTAATTACCACATAGAGTCAGGTCCTCGGATTTCCGATTCATGCAAATCACATGTACATGTACACATTATACAGTACAGTGTTCCCATTACATGTAGCCATTGATGTCACAGCTGGACATACTCACCTTGACACACAAGATCACTCTGCTGCACACCTGATCTCAACACAGACAGCAGTGAAGACACACCTGTTCACACACCTGATCTCAACACAGACAGCAGTGAAGACACACGTGTTCACATGTGATCTCAACACAGACAGCAGTGAAGACACAGCTGTTTTTATCTCCAGCTGGACACATAAATCTTGTTACATTTTTTTTTCTGAAACTATAATTTCTTTCTCTTTACAGAATTTGAGAGTGCACGTAGGAATGCAGGTGAGACTATTTGCTTTCTCAAGCATTCATCAATCTCATTAAAATACACAAAGTACAGGTTCAGTGCACTGAGATTACTTTACACTGTTCATCATCAACTCTTCTCCTTTCTTGTCCATAGTGGACGTGACTCTGGACCCCAGAACAGCTCATCCCCATCTCATTGTGTCTAGGAATGGGAAACAAGTCAGACATGGTGACATACGACAGGATCTCCCTGACAATCCAGAGAGATTTACTTCCTGTGTCGATGTCCTGGGAAAGGATGGGTTCACCTCAGGGAGACACTACTGGGAGGTGAAGGTTGGGAAGAAGACTGAGTGGGATTTAGGAGTTGTCAGAGAGTCCATCAAAAGGAAAAAGCAGATCTCACTGAGCACTGAGGATGGGTTCTGGACTTTGGGACTGAGAAATAGGACGTATACAGTAAGCACAATCCCTGCTCTCGATCTCCCCCTGACCATGAGGCCCCGGAAGCTGGGGGTGTATGTGGATTATGAGGGGGGGCAGGTCTCCTTTTACAATGTGGAGGAGGAGTCTCATATTTATACGTTCACTTGCAACTTCAGGGAGAAGATCTACCCTTTCTTCAGCCCCTGTACCAATGATGGGGGTAAAAACTCAGCCCCACTGATCATCACTCCTGTCAGTCCCCCTGAGTGAAACACAACATCTATAGGAGGGACAGCATGTATAATAACTGCTGTGCCTTTTGAAATCACTGACTTGCCACAGATTGGGAGAATTATTATGGGATGGGCTGCTTTAGGATCAAGCATTACAAACATGACCATAGCTTGTGAAAGTGACAAAAATAACATTTTGATCAGCAATATCCATAAGCAACATGGAATTATTAAATCTATGAATGCTGTCAGCCATTTTCATGAAAATCATTATGCTTTCAAAGTTGCTAATAAAAAAATGAAGGCTGCAAAAATTGGATTCACTGACTTGCCGTAGTTTGGAATAGTATTATTTTGCAAAAAATAACAGACCCATCAGTTTTGTTACTCGAGCTCCATTTTCACTTGGTGAATTAAAGCACATACCTCTGCCTACAATGTGACCTCTGTACTGTAGAGTAAAAATGTCTGTCATCAGTTCTTCTACTTTAATTTTACAGATGAAGTCTTCAAAATTGTCTTTACAGCAAATGCAGAGATTTCTTTGAAAATTATTACATAACAGCACCTA